CTCAGCCCCTGCTGTCTGTGGCAGGGCTTCTGGGGAGATGGGCCATGGCTGCTGAGTGCCCATCCAGCTTCTGCTCTGTGATGGTCCATGTGCCAGGTCCCCAGCAGAGCCATTTGGTGGGGCCATGGCAGCCTGAGTGGGAAGAACATGGCTGAGTTCGTGGGATAGCAGAGCCTACCTTTCTTTCCCCTGCCTATTTCTGCCTTCTTCTTGGGAAGAGAGATTTGGGGCCCTCTTCCTCCAGGTCTCTATGTAGCTGGACCTTTGTGATGAGGTACTGATGGTCCTCAGTGCTTTGGGAAGATTGCAGCATCCAAAGTACTGTGACCATATGCCCATCCTTTCTGAACCAAGGCAGTGGTGACAGTTGCTGGGGACTTTTACCACCTATTGAACAAATGGAGGAGAATGGCCTTCCTTCAGCTCAAGGCCAGACGCTTATCTCTGCATCTGCAGGGACCTGCCTCTTTAGGAGTCAGCATGCCCACAGCCTCTGCTCTGGCTTGTGTCTAGCCTCATGAGGTCATAGGGTTTTTTCAGAGGTGGCTGAATCTAGAATGTGTGATTGATTCTTAGTGCGATGCTTTGGGTGTCAGGTATTTTGTCTCAGCAACAAGAAAAGTAAGGCAGTCTCTGAGCTGAGACACAGGTGGTGTCCTGGTCTACCTTTCCTTGGATGTGTTGTTTCCCTCTCTTGGTCTTAATTTTCTCATTCACAAAGTGGAACAATAACAAAAACACCTAAGTTCTTGTGAAAAAAAAAAACCCTCAGAAAACCATTATGCAAAATGAGGACACGCTTTCTAAGCTGTGCTGCACTGTTCTGGCAGAGGTGGTCAGTTGTAACCTAGCATGGAGAAACCAAGATTGTGCCACCATTACAAAGGAGCAGAGGTGAAGTAATAGTAATGGTTCTTCCTGGTGGGACTGGATATTGTAGTGAGGGGAGGACAAAAGGCCCAGCAAATGAACCCTGACGCATTTAATCAGGTCACTGAACAGTGAAGTGTGGCTTTTGGGGCCAGAAGAATGCCACTTGGGCATTTCAATCCCACTTCAGAGAAGTGGGGCCAGAGTGTGGTGAGGAACAGTGAGGGGGCTCTCTGTAGGTGCTACAGAAGCAGGTTTTCCTGATTCCTCCTGGTGGATGCCACCTGGGTCCTCATGGGCTGGGGATGGATGGTGGCAATTTCTGGACGTTGCCAGGCAGTGAGGTGGGTTCCTGATCTGCTGTGCCATTGGCTGATGGGGATGTGAAAAGGGCCTCTGTGCAGGGCCCTGAATCTCTTCTCCACTTTGCCATCCCCTCATGGTCCCTAGCTAGGGAGCCCTAATGGCCACAGAATCCTACGACAACGGAACCCTTGCACATTGCTCCTAAAAGGGCCCCATGAGAACTGAGCCCAAATCTCTCGAGGTTATGGAAAGGCAGGAGTCAAATGCCAAGAGGTCTGGCTGTCAGGTCCAGAGACCTTGAGCTTGTCTCTGCCTCTTATTGCCCCTCAGTGTCCCCTAGAGGAGGAGGAGGAGAGATTGGGGCAGACAGTTACTAAGAGCCTTGTTATCTGTGACATGTTTATGTTCATAAAAAAGAGCCATTTAAAAATAAAAGAGGAAAGAAGCCTACTAAAGTCTGGTCCCTCATCATTTTCCAAGTTTTCTGTGTATTTTTTCATCAAAAGACAAAATGTGATTAGACCATATGTTGGACTAATTGTTCTCTAAACAGAACTTAAACATTTGAATATGCTTGCAAGAGCAAGGCAAAGCGAGGGAAGCAGTGGGAGTAGGAGGGGGCAGATTCTTCTCCAGGGGGGTGCTGCAGGGGGGCAGCCGCCAGCCCTCCGAGCCCTGGGAACTGCCTGGGCAGCAGGGGGGCTAGCATAGGGTGTGCTTTCCCTGGCCTAGATTGGGGTGACCCATGGTTCTAGCTTCATTCATTCACTCTGCAGATATGAATGGAGAGCTCAGCCCAAGCCTGGCCTAGAACTGGGTGTTGAGGATCCAAGGATCATGAGAACAGCGGAGGTCCCTGCCCCACAGAGCCCACAAGCCCCCTGGATAGACAGACAAGACACTGGGGAGTTGCAGCTGAGTGATATGTGTTGGGGTTGGCAGGGACACAGCACGGCTGGGGAAACCAGGTGAAGGTCAGAGGAGTCTAACACCCAAGCAGAGCCTAGGAGGGGAGCAGAGCCAGGCCGAGAGGAGCAGCAAGCATTTCTGGAAGAGAGGGCAGCTTGTGTGAGCGCCAAAGCAGGAGGCGGGCGGCTCATGGGGACCTGTGGGAGGTCAGGCATGCAAGAGCTGAGAGAGCACCTGGGAGAGAGGAAGTGATATGGGGCTGGGGCCTGGCAGAGTCTGGCACCCATGGCCAAGGTGGGCAGCTCTGACTTGGCCCTGTGTGTGGTGAGGAGGGGCTGAGGAGTGAAGTGCAGGGGCACGACATGGCACCTCTGGGCTTCAGTCCCCCGATGGGATGTCAGGCTGGCTGAGGATGTGCTCCCTGCTGCCCCTCATGTCAGTCTCCCCCTCCCCCAGGGGGGTGCCTACTGGCTGCCTCAGGCCAGGGCATGCTCCAGATCTTCTTGGTGCAGAAGTGGATACCAGTCTGTGGCAGGAGCTGGCAGGTGCTCCTGGGAGTGACCTGGCCCCTGATGACCCAGCTGTAGTACAAAGTCCACACTTCTGGGTAGAGATGGGGAGCTGGAGGTACGGAGAGTGGCAAGGGGTACAAACTGTTATTATTCAGGAAAGCAGCACCACAAGCAATCAGAACTTATGCACACTGGCCCCTGGCTTGCTGTGTCCACCCATTTCCCAGCACTGGATGGTGAACACCTCTTTTGCAGCCTGGCTCCTGTCAGCAGTTGTGATGGAGGGTGCTGCTCCCAGTTCAAGATGAGAAAAGACTCTCATCCAGGGAGAGTCTGGTATTGCAAGCTCTGCCCTGTTGGAGGCAGAGATGGGAGTCAGTATACAGTGTGGTCCTCCGGGGATGGTGGATGGGATACCACAAGCCGCGGAGGAAAGGCCTCCAGATGAGGTTGGTGAGTGTAAGATCCTGGGGAAGAAGTGACAGCACAGCCCAAGCAGGGTGGCTTGGAGACAAAAGCCCCATCTGCCATGCTGGGATGCCCCAACCGCCCCCTTCCGTTAAGGCGGCCCACCGCCCTGTGGCGGCTGAGATGAAGGAGGGCCGACAGATGCACTCAAATATGGTTTGGTTCAGAGAATGAGCTTAATTAGGCATTTAAGCCCGTAGTTGTGAGTCCAAAGCTTTCTCTCTTGTTGGTGTGTGATCCAGGAATGTTGCTGAGGATCGTTTACAGAGGAATGTTCAGATAGTTGGAAGTTGTAAAGCAGATGGTCCTATTGTTAAATCTGACCTTTCTCCCCCACCTCCTGGGTAGGTGCAGCAGGTGCATTTGCAGGCTGTTCCTCCACGCGGAGTGGCAGATCCTCGGCTAAGCTGGCCCCGGGGGACAATCCAGGCCTCAGGCCATGCTCTGGGCCTCCTAGACAGTCAGACCAGAGGGGCATTACTTCTGTGTGACCTGGTGTCTGGGTCCCTGGCCAAGCAGCTGTGCTCCTCTTAGCAATCTGCACACCTCAGGCCCCAGCGTCTGCACTCTGCTCCCTTCACAGGCTGCAGCCTGTGTCCCAGGTCCATCTCCTGGCCACTGCTCAGGACCGGAAGGAGGACCATATGTGGCTTGTTGTCCCCCAAGAGCTGGGGCTCACAGTAGAGCTTTTAGTCCTGGGCTGGGGTGGGAGGAAGACCCCTGGCCCATGTTGGAGAGGCTTCCTGGGGACCCTGCCTGAGTGGCTTCCTCACCCACACATCTGATGCTCCGGTTTCAGAACCCATTTCCTCCCCTGCCTGTTCCTATGTTACCCCCTCTCTGTCTCTCTTTCCAGCCTCTCCTCTGCCTCCATCCCCATCCCTCATGGTGTCCGTTGTGCACATTCCCTCTGTCTTCTTCCCCTCCCCCTCCTCTATGCCCCCAGCAGGCCCTCTCACTCCACTCCAGGCAACAGGGGTGTGCCCAGGGCTTGACCCTCCATGCACACTTCTGCTCCCAGCCCTGGATTACCTGTCCCGTCCCTGTGAACCTGTAGTTCCATTTCTCTCTTCCTGTTACCCATCCAATGCTGACCCCAGTACTTTCCCACACAAAGATAGATCCCTCACAAAGAAGAGCTTGGGTCCCCCTGTCAAGCAATACCCGCTTCTCATAAAATCACAACCCCCGCAGGCCCCAGGAGGCTGAGAGGCCTCCACAGGCCCCAGAATTAAAGGCTGCAGAAGCCCGAGCAGAGGCGTCCTGAGGGAGGCTCTGGGATCCAGCCGAGGGCCCTCACCAAGGGGAGCTCCCTGACTGAGCCACACTGCTCAGGGGATGCAAATCACTAACAACATGCCGTGCTCACTGCCATCTGTGCGCTGCAGTTCTGAAGAGGCAGCTTGGTGCCCACTCAGGCCTCCTCCTCCCTCGGAGATTGAACCCAACACCTCTGAGTTGTGCTACAATCCCTGCCCTTCTACAATTTTTTATTTTGAGAAAGGGTCTTGCTAGATCCCTAAGTTGCTGGGCTGGGGTCAATCCTCCTGTTCAGCCTCCCAGGGTGCTAGAATTTCAGTCATGAGCTACCATGTGCTGGAAGGCAGAGCCTGGGGGTACTTGGGCTGCCACTTGGGCTGCCTCTTGGGCTCCTTGGGGCCTTTGCCTGGGGCCTGCACTGAACCCTCTTGAGCTTCCTCTGTGCGTGGGGTCTTCACACTGATGGAGGGACACTCCTGAGTGACTTTCATCCCTTCGAAGAGAGCACCTCCCTGTGAGGTGCCTCCCAGGGTCTCTTGCAGCAAGGTATGGGCAACACTGAGAGCCCTGGCAGCTCCCAGGGGAGCCCCACAGATGTGTCCTCCAACCTAAGAAGATCTCTCTGCTGTCTTGTAGCACAGTGGCAGACCAATGGGAGATGTGTTTTATTTACAGATGTTCCAAGATGCACGCTGAGTGAAATGCTGCCATGGATGCGGCTGAGCCCTGCCAAGTTCCTGCTGAAAAATGGCCTCCACTTCAGGAAAGGAAAGGGAAACTGAGGCGCGTGACTGGCTTGGACTGAAGTCTCCCCAGCCTTTGCCTCAGGTCAAAGAGGCAGCGCAAGTACCCCCAGGCTCTATCTTTCAGCATGAGGCAGTTCACACTTTGCTATGCCACCTGGTGTCCCATAGAACCTGCAGCGGAAGTGTGGATATTTAGCTTCCTGTCTGCTCCTGGGAATGGTGGGGTCTGGGAGGCGAGGTTGCCCCTTACCTACCAGTGCTGCCTTCATTCCCCTATACAGGGGCTGAAGCTCTGAGAGGGCCAGGGGAGGCCTGCAGGTTTAGGGAGCTGGGTTGGAGAGCAGGGGGCCTGATGGCTGTTGTGCTGGGGAGCACCCTCATTTTCTGGAGTTTGGCTGAGGAGTAGCTGGGGATACAGGGAAGTTCTGAGAACCAACAGGCAGGGATCCAGCTGCTCCTTCTATAAGTGCAGTCAGTGCTCCCTCAGGTGTCACTGGGCTTTTGAGGGGCTTCCAAGGGGCCAGGGCATGGGCAGAGAAGGCTTGCAGGACATAATGACTCAGTTGGTCTGTCCTGACACCCAAAGCTGAGGACTATGCTGAGGGGCAGATGCCTACTGGTAGCAGCCATGGGCTGTTCTGTGGTTGCCCAGTGTGGGCCTTGTGGAAGTTTCTGTGCTGCCCCAATCTCCTCCTGCCTCTAGAGAAGCTGACAGTCACAGAAGAAGTGAAATCCTTCATTTTGCACAGTCCCTGGCACACAGGAAGTCCCCACTCAATATTCTCGCTGACAATTTCCATGGGGCACAGAGGCAGCTGTGACGGGGGAGACAGAACTCTCATTTGGATACTGAGGTCAGCTCTGGCCCATATCTGCCGTTAGCAGAAGACAGGGACAAAGGCTAACTAGAGCTTGGGAGACATAGGGAGCTATGTAAAGGACTTCCTGATGAGTGGCTTCTCAGAAAGCTCTTCTTTGGAGCTCTTTGAAGGCAAAAGTGATGAAGGTAGAAAGGCAAAATGACCACGGTGTCCCCACTACACCAAGCACTCTGCCTACTGTAGGCCAGCACCACTTTGGGGGTAGCTGGCTGAGGCAGGAGGAAGTGTGAGGAAGGCAGGCTCCTACTGGCCCAGCTGTGACCCATGCGTCAGAGGCTGGCTGGACTCGCAGGTAGATGAGGCTTTGGGGATCTCTGGATCAGAAAGGGAGAAGACAGGAAGGGCTGACAAACTGGGAGATCTCAGGACAGCATCTTCTACAACCCAGGAGAGCTGAGTCAGCCTGTGAGGACAGGTGCCCAGCCAACGGGAATCTGCATTCTGGCCACGCAGCCCTTAGACACTCTGTCTTAGGATTCTTGATTTAATCAATTTTGTCATGCGGGATGGGAGGGATAATAGAAGGAGAATCTGTTAACACTGGGCCTGGCAGGAGGCTTGGAAGGCTCTTTGAGACTTGGACACACTGTGACGTAGCTGAAGCCCCTAAGGACACAGCCAGCACACGGAGGGGTAAGGTGTGCAGCCAGTGGCCACGGTGCAGCACGGTCCCTTCGTTCCACTCTGCTGTCTCCCACTGTGGGAGCTCAGTGGACGTGGGGCTTCCCCCATGGAGAATCTGGAACCCAGACAGGTTGAGTGACGTGTTCAAGGTCACACAGCCTGCTCAGACTAAAGGCAGAGGAGAGATCTCAGCTTAAAGAGCTGCGCCCTTCCTCCCTCCTTTCCAGGGCTCTGTGTGTCTGTGTGAGAAGAACATGAATCACCAGGAGACTCAGAAAGAGCAGCACCCTGCCTCCTGCTTCTGTCTCCCAATGTGAGAAGCACGTTTCTCCACCTACTCTCTGTCATCCCCAGAGACCGGGCTTGGTGTGTGGGAGGTGTGAGCTCGTGGACTCCGTTGGTGGTCTGGTTTTGCTGTTATTGTCTCCTGCTGGTGACAGCAGGCTGGGCCAGCAGACATGGATTTCTGCCCAACCCTGTGTCCAGAAGCCAGGCTGACTGCCAGGGCTGGTTGTAAGGGCAGTGTTGCTGCCATAGAGCAGCCCTGGGAGGCCCTGCTGGGGTGTGTCTCTTGTTCTCCTGCTGCCCTTGTGCCAACTGGAGCTCCCTTAGGCGGTGATGGTGTGACTCGTTTTATCCCAGGGCTGAGCACTCAGCCTGCTGCAGACCCTGTCTCCGCCATGCCCACATCTGCTCCGTGCTATCCTTTCTTCCTTCTTTCTTGTGGAGCATCCTTGGATGTGCAGAGGACCTGTCTTGGAGTCAGTGCCCTCAGGAACCAGGGTCAGCCCAGAGTGGGACCATGTGTCATCCTCAGCCTGCTCATTCAAAGAGGGACAGCCTAAGACCTGTGCTGTCCCATCTTCCTGACATCCTCAGTAGCAACCTGCTCACTGTTACTCTCCGTCTGGCTGGTTCCCCTGCCTGCCTGGATACTTCCCGGCATCACCTTCCACACAACAGCCTTGCATCCCCATCCTTCCCCTGGGTCTGGGCTGGGGCAGCTGGCTGGCTGCTGAGAGGTTTATGCTGGACTCCATGGGCCAGGATCCTGAAGCAACCCCTGTTCTCTGGGGCTTCTGGGGCTGATGAAGGCTGTGCCTTCCCCTAAAGGCTTGACCCTCCTCAGCCACAGAGCTCCTCTTTTAGTCAGGGCATGAGCTGAAGACAGTCCAGGTCCAGGACACACACAGACACACAGACACACACACACACACACACACACACACACATTAGCGGAAGTCCTCTCAGCCATTTCCTGCAGCTGTGGCATTTGACTTTCACCAGCCCTTCTATTCTACCCATGCTTTCTGAGGGTTCTAGGAACCCAGAGTGCTTTGGAGAAGAGCAAAAGAACCATTTTTCTAAAACGAGCCCTCCTCAAGAAGTGACCATTGACAGTGAGCCTTGTGTCCCTTGACCAGGGAGAATTCCAAGGGGTGAGTCATATCCCTATTGGCGTGTGACATACCGGGCATGTCACTGTTTTGACTGATGGGCTGCAATCTAATAAAGAAGCTGTACCTCAGGCCTGGGGATCAATAGTCAAGGAAAAGCAATTCTTAAAAACAAAACAGTAATTGCAGATGCACTTTCAATTAGATCAACAGAGAAGATGTCAATAGCCCTGCCTAGAGGAAGAAGGATTGTATGCCTTAGGGTCTTCCAGCAAGAGCTCTTCTGAGGGAGGAAACCCTGCCCCATGTTCTTGGGACAAATTTGGAAAATAGCCACAAGCCCTGGGGAACTAAAGAAGGCAAACCTCAGTTTCCTGAATACAGAATAATCATTGTCATCCTCAAAGAACAAAATCCTGAAATGAGCTGCTCTGTGCACATCTAGTCTCTCCATCTCCTCTCCCTCCCTCCTTTCTTTCCCCTTTCCTTTGTGTCATTTCACCTTCTGTCTTCTTGCCTCCCTGCATTTCTTCTTTCCCTTCTCTTGAAGAAAGAAGAACAAAAGGACCATAACAATAAGTCCTGGGCGGGTTGGGGTCTTGGTGTGGAGTTTGGTCTGGGAGGGGGGTTGGGTCTTCCTTCTGAAGGGTCCTGGGGGGTCGTCAGTGCTTCATCTCACCAGAGGCTTGGCTGAATGTGCAGGGATCCCTGTGCAGTGGAGATGCTGGCATTTAGGGAGATTGTACCCTGGGGAGTTCCGGGACGCAAATCTTGAGAAGCAGCTTTAGAGGCGTTTCTGCTCTCTGGGGCTCTCTGGGATGGCTTCCAGACAGGAGGGAGGACACGCCAAGGGGTCTGCAGTCTCCCAGCCTCTAGCTTCACAGGAGCGTGAGGTCAGCTAGACCACTTTCCAGGGCCTGGTGCTAGGACCAGTAGCACCCAGGGGAGCATGGGCAGATGATGACATGGGGTTTGGAGGAGAAGGGAGGCTCTCTCCAATGGAGGCCTAGGTGAAGTGCACAGGCCTCTGGAGCCCGCTTCTATTTCTCCTGTTCTCCTAGGCCCTGCTATCTCCCTTGCCCAGGTCCATGTTTGCCAGGCGAGGCATGGCCATAAATCTCACATCGTTTCCCTTTAGGACAGCGGAGTCCCCAATCTGCACCCTGCAGTGGTGGTCCAGCCAGCCTCATGTTTCTGCAAAGCTAGGGGCTAGTCGACTTCAGACCCCACAGCCATGTCTCCTTCACTCATGGCTGGAGGTCTTACTCTATGAGTGTCCTGTTCAAGATTTTATTTCCAGAGCCCAACACAATACCTGGCATGCAGGAGGCGCTCTGAAGACAGTGCAGAACAGGAGACCAGGCAGATGGACTCTTTCCAGGTTCTTTTAGGAGATGTGAAACATTGTTTCCTGAAGACCTCCATCTCCCTCTTCTAAGAGAGATTTTCCCCCAGGCAAAAGTGCAATCTCAGAGGAATGGCCCTGAGATCTTCTTGGGATACACATTATATATATCTCCTGTAGGGAGGGGGGTCAGCAGGCAGTGTAGATCTTCCTGAGCCTGTCAGAGAAAGCAGTGCATAATTAAATATCATTAAATGGACTCACCCACATCCAACTTCATTACCACAAGCGCCTGTTGAACTTGAGTAATTGCTGGGGCTTGGCAGGAAGACGCAGTCCCAAGGGAGAGGCTCTGTGAGAAAGGGGTACTGAGGGGCCTGGTGTTCTGGCCTGGCCAGGTTGGCCCACACGTGCCCTCCTTGCAGATAGCAGGAGGCATGGAGTGCCGCTGGCACTGGCCTGCACAAGTGCTCTGACCCTGGAGCCTGCAACCAGTGAGGTGTCCTGTGACAGGGCAGAGGGGCTTAGGCACAGTTTGCATTTAGGCCTCCTTGGTCTCTCAGCCCTCACCCTTGCAGGGTTGGCATGGCCTCTGGACAGGACATGGCTGAGGGGTCTGCAGTCTACTAGCCCTTAGCTTTACAGGAACATGAGGTTAGCTAGACCACCATTGCAGGGTGCAGATAGTGCACTCCGCTGTCCTGAGGGGAGGGGCTGGCCCCTGCACCACTGCGCAAGGCCAGGACCAGGCAGGTAGGGGTAGGAGTAAAGCAGGAGGAGGCCATTCAGCAGAGAGGCCTCACATTAAGTTGCAGAGAGCACACTGCTGTTTGATAGGGCATGCATGGGAATCTGGAATTAAACTCATGAATATCTCCCTCACTGAGGCCTCCAATTCCATGCTTGAGATTCAACCCTGGGGTTAAACAAGTGCTTGTTCAGGTTTCTCTTAAAATGCAGATTTGCCAGGGTGTATGTAGAATGCCTGATGGTGTCTTATCTTTCCCTCCAGAATGTGTCCTCTAAGCTGATGCTGGCTTTTCATCTCTGCACCAGCGTGGTCCATGCCTGGCTGCTCCAGGATGTTTGTTGAATGAATGAATGATTGGCACATTCTGGGCAGGTGAGACTGGTTTCCTAGGGTTGAGAAGGCAAGAGGGTGCTGAGAGCAGATTCTGTCTTCACCATGCTCCTTTGGGCCCTGTGGAATGGGAGAAAAATCATGTTGAAAGAAAAAATTGCTCTATATGTGGTATATTCTTCAACTTCCCTGTGGTTTTAGACCATTCCATCCCTTCCTCATTTCTAGGAGATTGTCCAGACCAGAGGAGCACTGGTTTGCTCCAGGGAGGGTATGTACTTGTGCAGAGAGTTGAGCTCACAGCAGATACAAGGCGCTTTGCAAGAGCGTCAGGGTAAAATGCTGATAATCAGAAGCAAAGAAATAAGTTGACAAGAAGATGCATAAAAATTGTGATTACAATTTTAGTGGCCAGACTATGAGAAGGAGAGAGACAGAATTAGAGCGACAAAGGGTACCTGCTCTGGCCTTACTTCCCATCTACCCACCAACGGGCTCACCGCAGAACTGCTCCACTGTCCCTGGGGAGGAGAGAGGAGGAAGGGCCAGATGCAGGGTCTCAGGGTCCTTTCTGATGCCTTTTCTTGCCAGTCCTGACTCCTCTGTCTGTCCTGGTCAGTCTCCTCCCTGTAGACCCTCCCATTTCAACAGAACCTTCCCTGGGTGTGAGAAAGTGGTTTGCTAATGGTCCTTACCAGCTTTAGATCAATGCCACCCCTGCCAGTTTGGTGCCTGCTGTGTTTAGGCTCCTGAGCTCAGAGTCCTGCTGGCACTTGCCTATTTCCTGCACCCACGCAGCTGGAAATCAATGAGTTTTTCTGTGAAATCCTATAGATAGGTAGAGAGACTGATTCTGTGTGAGTCTGTGTTCTTATGCTTGTGATTTTGTCTGCATCCTTGTGTGACCTCACGCTTCTCTGTGCGTGTGCCCTCACTCTAAGTCCCCATGCACACATGCCTGCAAATGCCTGTTTTTGTATATGCCTCTGTGTGTGCCTGCATGTGCTTATGCCCAAGTGTGTTTCTGTGAGTTTAAGTGTATGTGCTTCCTAAACACTGAGAACACCAGCTTTCTCCTCAGGAAGTTATCTCTTCCCTCCCACTTTGCAAACTCATCTTTTCCCCACCAACTTGCTGTAAGACGGAAGTCCATGTTCTGTCTCGTGGGAGGCTGACGCTGCCTGAAGGAGCAAGTCTCATCAGTTGTGATACGAGCTGCAGTGCCAGAGCTGGGAGCGAAGGTAAGAAGCATTCTGCTTTCTTGATTTCAGACCCAAATCAACCTCTCATTCTGCTTAACCTTTCTGATCCCTTTTCCCGCTCCGCTGTAAAATGGGATTCTGCTGGTTGTGACATCAGATTTACGGGCTGATTAGCTGAGGTGGTAATGTCAAGGGCCAGCACGGCGACAGGCACAAGGCAGAGCTCTTGGCAACTTCAGCTGCAGCACACTGACTGTGTGTCCTCATAGTGGCGCTGAGAAGGAGCACATCTTGAGTGCGTTTTCGACTTGCATCTGGGGTCAGAGACAAAAGTGAGAACAGTCCCAGGTTGTGGAGAACTCAGTCTGCCTGGGAGAACATGCCATACACCTTTATGATTGATATTAATAGTACCTAATGATCACAATTAGTAATGATAGCAACTACAACCACAACAGCTAACAGTCCTCTCTGTCTGTCAGTCTGAATTATTTGCAACACTGTGATCCATTATTTCCTGTCGCTCTGGTAACCAGCCCCTGAGTTGGGTTGTTATCACTCCATTTTATAAATGAGGAGCTGGAGCTGTATGTCTGCCTATATGATTACATCACTTATAAGACGAAATCAAGAGAGAGCGTGTGACATGGTGGGAAAACAGTCAGGAGCTTCAGGGTAGTATTTGTGAACACCAGCAGGTCGTTTTCATGAACTCTTTCCAGGTGATGCTGTATTTTTCTGCCTAGGTCAGTGGCGGTGAACCTAGGACATGTGTGTTATTCATTTTTCTTTTAAGACAAAAGATGTTAATGTATGAGTTGTGTTTTTTCTAGACTAAAATCTCAATATTCAGGTCAATTGCCATGTTGGCGCTTTGAGGTCAATAAGTGCTCTTAGGGCTGCCGTTTGGGCCTCTGTCTCTCAGAGTTTTGCCATCACTGGCCTAGGTGTTTTCCGGTCTCTGCAGCACCTCTCAGTGCACCCTTTCTTTGCCCAGGAGGTGGGGCTGCCCCAGCCCACCAGGCGGACCTGAGCTCCAGGGAGAGGGCCGTGGTAACACTCTTGTGCAGCAGTGGTCTCCATTAATCCGGTTCAGCTGCTTGCTAGACAGGGTGGCTCCCGGACCACTGGGGAAGCCCATTATGGCTGGAGATGCCATTCATTCATCACTGCTCTTCCCTCCTAGACCCAGATTAGCGACATTGCCTCTGACAGCTCCAAACATGCTCATGTCATTACTGCCAAGCCCAGGAGTGCCCCTAGAGCTAAAGACCTGCTGGTGCTTTGATTATAAGCACCCGATCTTCAGAGGGTATATAATGCTGCCATTTGAAATCACATTGGGCTGAAACTTAGAGAGAGAGAGACGGGGGTTGGTGGGGGGTGGGAGAGCTTGTCAGCTTGGTTGTATTTGGAAATAAAGATTGGAATACAGTTTCTGATTTGTCCCAAGCCTTTCCCAGGAGCTTTGAGTAGGCTGAGGGGCCAGGCCCAAGGTGGAATCAGGGTGCCTGGGAGAAGGGCCCCAGAGCTTCCGTGAAGGGGACACCTATGGAATCTACTTCACACGTGGGCTGCCCAGGACTTCTGGGGATTCACAGCTGGGTCATGTTCTGAAGTGGGCCAATGCCCACTCCACTCAAGGGATGTGGTAAAGCCTTCCCCCTTCTCTAGGGAAGGGTGTTGTTTTTGAATTCAGATGCTGCTGGAGCCGGCCAGTTGGAGCTTTGTAATTAGACCAGGAATGCTGTGTTTGTGTCCTGCTCTGGTGGGACAGTTTGTGGCTTGTGTTTCCCCTTTTCTTTGTTTCCCCTTTTTCTTTCTTATAATCGAAGCACCACTGGAACTCTTGCTTTCATTTTTCTTTAGCCACGTGCTTATGTTTTTCTCTTGCTTGTCTGTTCCTGTCCGTTTGCCTGTCTGCAGATTTCCCTGTATCCATCTGATTACTTTCTCCTCCCATCTCTGCCTTGAGCCCATCCCCCTTCTCTCATTTCCTATCTCTCCCTTTCTCACTGTCTTCTATTTGCTTTATTCATTTAACAAACACTCACATGGCCCTTACTGTGTCCTGGGCATGGCTCTATGTACTTCCCAAATATTAACTCGTGTCAGCCTCAAAAATCTTCAGAAAGCAGAAGACTGTGGTTATCTTTATTTTGCACTGAGGAAACTAAGGTGATGAAAGGCAAGTGGCTACTGAAGGCCACACAGGAAATAAGTGGCCACAATAGAGCTTAAAAATCTCTGTGTCTTCCAGAAAAAACAAACAAACAAACCAAAAACCAAAGTTAACACCTATTCATAGCATTGCAATTCACGATAGCTAAGTTCTGGAAACAGCCTAGGTGCTCATCACCAAGGGAATGGATAAAGAAATGTGGTGTGTATGCACAATGGAATATTACTCAGCCAAAAAGAAGAATGGGATCAGGTCATTTACAGGAAAATGGATGGACCATAATGTCAAATGAAGTAAGTCAGACAAAGAGGTTTAAATGTCCCATAGTTTCTCTTATAGGAGAAATCCAAAATATAAATAAAGGGTAAAATAAAGAAGAGACAGTAGAACACAGGAAGGTAGGCTTTTTGGAAATAGAAAAGAGGATCAGGAGAAGACAGGAAGGAAGAGGATAGGAGAGGGAGTGAAGGGATCAAAAGTGACGAAGATTTGATCCCCTAAATGAATGTAACTGTTATGTGTTGCAAACATACACTGATTAAAAAAAAAAATGAAAAAAGTTTAATGTCTGTCCACCTGAACTCAAGACCTCAATCTTTCTTTGTGCTGGTGCCTGGCATGGGGCCTTTGTGGTCCTCCCAGCCTGCCCTGTGCATACTATTCTGAGAGATCCTTTGCCTACCAGGTTAGGCTTGAGCTTCAGCAGCAGGATCCAAAGTGCTCACTTTGCCATGTGCAAAGTTTAGGGACCTCAGGGGCCAGGGGCTGGTAGCAAGTTGGAAAGAGAGGATCACTGCCTCTCTTTCTTGATGACTTCCAGTAAATGTATGGGAAAGCTCTGGACAAGCAGCATCCTGCCTACCCTCCTGTGTGAACTGTCCCAAGCCCCACCCAATGGGGGCATGCAGAGCCCCTTCCATCCTCTTCTTCCAGCAAGACTTAACCCTCAACATGTCATATTACTGACTCTGAAAAGTCTTTTGTAAACTTCTAGACTGACAGGGCAGCCCTGCTTGGGCTCAGCAGAATGCCTCATCTGCTTTAGTGACAGAGGTAGGAACTCAGAATCTCATTTAAAGATGAAAATCTAAGACCTAGGGAAGGACATTAATCAATTTGTTTAAAGTTATTCCACTAAACAGTGTGAGATCTCATTCAATCCAGGCCTATTGGCTCCAAATCTATATGTGTTTCAGCCACACATGAAAGGTTTCCATGACATGAGATAATAGTAGATTAGTTGCAATAATAAATATGTCTCAAATCCCAGAGGTTTAACATGTAGGCTTGATTACGAGTCCTGAAAGAGACTAATGTAGGCATAACTGGTCAAGTGGCTTTCTTTGGTGGCTTGTCTCCAAGTGGTGACTCAGAGACCCATGCTCCTTTCATGTCGTGGCTTTGGCATTGCCATGAACTTCCGATCACTCTGCTAGATTGCTCATGTCTACCCAGACATGAGGAAAGAGTGGAAGGTGCTGTGGGAGATTTTCATGTGTTAGACCTAGAAATACAGCCCATCACCCTACCACCCTCCATTGGCCATATTTTAGACACTACATACAAAGGGAACTGGGAAATTCTATCTAGTTTTGTATGTAATAGTTTGGTGCATAACTAGCTAGTAACTTCCACACACACTTCAGTGAGTATCTTCCATTTCATCTCCCATGACTTCTTCTTGGCCAAGACTGTGTTATTTTTTCATAATTTTTTAATTCCCTCCCTACTTGTGTAATGGCCTACTATAGGCAGAGCATACTTCCCTGTTCACTGACTTTGGCCTTGGCTATATGACTTGCTATAAAAATAGGATTTGAGCAGCTATAAAGCACATCATAGTTAGCCTGAAGACATCAGAGTGGCCTCTTCCACTTCTGCCTTGCACTTTGAGAAGAGTATTCTCTTAGTAGCTGCTTCTCCTTCAGCCTGAGTCCTGGAAGGAGAGAAATGTGGATGACTTGACCTTGATGAAATCTAATACAGAGGTGCTTCAGCCAACCAGCAAATCTCTGAACAAGAAACAGCTGTTTGTTGTTGTAGCTGCTACTGGTTCAGAGCTGCTTGTTACACAGCATTTTGGTAGCACTAGCTGACCTAGACAACCTACTGCCACAATAGAATAATGGCCACACAGCTTCAGTATATGCTGCTCTCTTGCATCTCCATGTTGACATCTGCTGTTGCTCCTCATTAAATCCTTTCTTTATGACTTCTTCAGAGACAGACCACAGGTGGACTCTTTCATAATACTCCCAGGTCCTGGGTGCTCAGAAGAGGCAGAGACTGTTGTTTACATCTTGTCCATATTTTGTTTTGGTGATCCCACATTTCTTTTTTTGTCTTTCTTTTTTTTTTTTTTTCCAGTACCAGGAATCAAACTCATGATGTCGCTCTTGCCAGGCAGGCACTGTGCCGCTGAGCTAAATCCCCAGCCCCAACCCCACATTTCTGTACTTGCTAGAGAGTGGTGCTTTGGAAGGCAGGAGCCACATTAATTTCCTCTTTCCTCCACCCACTACCTCTGTGCCGTACATGCAGTAGATGATCAGACAATGTTTGCTAAGCTGGATTGATTTGAATGTCTGTCTCCTTCTAATGGGAGGCCCATAAGGGCACATCAAGTGCTGGCAGGCATCCCTAGCAGTGCTGGGCTCCATGCTTAGTGCTTAGATGATAGATATGTCATTGCCCATGAGGATGAGAATCTGGGCTGCCTCCAGCAATCTTGGCTGGAGGCCTGGGCTCAGCACAAATGTGATTGCTCTCACTTCCCCAGCTCTTGGCATCCAGAGCTCATGTCAGGAAGGAATGATGTGCTTCATACATCTTGGCCCAGACATACCTGTGGAAGCCAGAAGGTTGCATTACAGTCACACCCATTGCCCACACAGTCCTGTTGCTGTGGTTCTCAGAGCACAAGCCACAGCTCAGGTACTGATCCTGCACCCGAGAGAAGTCCTTTTTTGCAACAAGATGCTTCAGCGGAGGTGTTTGTGGACTTAGTGAGTGACATCTCTGGGCTCAGTCATGCTTTCCCCAAAGAAACCGTGAATCCCAAACAAGGCTTGTATAGTCTTGGCTATCCTGGCCCCACCAGACTTTATCAGCTAGTGATTGCGGATGTATGGATGTGCCTGAGCCATGTGGACCAGAGCTGGGCCACTGTACTGGCAAATCACGAGGTCACGGGGCAGCAGTGCAGTTAAACTTTGTCTCTCAGTAGCCTACTCATGCTGATTCTGAGATACTGGAAGGACTTTTGTTTTCAGTGTACAAAGAGATGTGTGACTCAAACTTCATTGCATGGGAGATTCTGTTTGTATTAATTTTTGCTTGCTGCATCACACTTGATCCCAAAATGAATGGCTTTAAAACAACTTTCAACATTTATTATCCATGGAGTTTCTGAGTCAAGCATCTCTGGCTTAGGAATTTGGTATAGCTTGGTCAGGTGGTTCCGGATGATGGTGTCTCTGGTACTGAGGCTGAGCATGAACTTCAAGGTGGTATTGGGTGTTTGTGGGAGGCCTCTGTTCTTCCTCTCATGGCTCCAACCCCACAGGCTGCTTGACTCTTCTCTTGACCCTGGCAGCTGGTGTCTCTCAGATCAAGTAGTCTGAGAGAAAGGAAGAGGCAGAGGGAGAGGAGAGGGAGGAAAAGAGGGAGAGGAAGAGGGAGGAGGAGGGGGAGAGGGAGATCCAGGCAGAAGCTAGCTTTTCTGTGTCCAGGAATCCTTGGAAACTGTAAAGCAATACTTTTGCCATAGTCTGTTTGTTAGAGGTGTCATTAAGTACAACCTACATTTGTATGGCTTATATTTGGGGAGGAGGGTTAAGCCTTTTGAAGGAATGAAAGCCAAAGTATTTCAAAACCACTTAAAGAGGAAAACTACTATATAGAGGAAAAACCACTATATAGAGGAAACAAAAAAAGCTTTCAAAGTCTGTGTGTATCCACCCCCACCTTTTAGACTTTCTCTTTTTCTTACTCCAATCTGGAAGAAAGAGGCCTTGAGGCCCAGTGGAAGCCTTTGGTGGCAAAGGACAGTCTATTTGGAGCCACTAAGGCAGGAAAGTAACACGGATGCTTCGGAGAGTTTCCACTGTACGTGCAGGTGTGGTGTGAAGTTGAGGGATCCAGAAGACCCCGTGTCTGGACATGCCTGGCCTGGGCTGAGAGGCTGGGCTGGGCTCCTAAATCAGCTACTGTCCAGCTGAGCCTGCAGCACAGTTGGCAGGAAGAACAGCTGCCCTGGCTGGGCCACTTCTGTGCAGCTCTGGGAGGTCAAGGCAGTAGCCATGAGGCCGGGCAGACCTTGAAGAACCTGGAAGTGCTCTGAGCCAGAACCTTCCTTCAATGAATCAGCAAACTGGGGCTCTGGGAAACAATAGACATTCTCAAGGTCACACAGTAAGTTGCAGGGATTGAGAATACCCAGTGTTTTCCTCTGATGCAAAACTGTCTTTCCAAGGGGAGCTTACTTGAAGCTATTCTTGGTAGATAAAGAAAAGGCCATCAGTGGAGCTCCAAGGGATCTAGGCTGCAGGCAGAAAGGAGGAATTGGAATGGGGTTGGATTGTCATGTTGAGTTTCTCCTTCCAATAAGAGGATGCATGACAAATGCTTCTAAAGGAGAAGAAGCGGGTGGGGAAGTGGAAGCCAGGAGTCCCAAGTGGATCAGCACAAGGCAAAGTGATGAGCTGGGTTTTTAAACTAAGAAAACGAAAACAAAAGCAAAACAGTAAATACAAAAGAAATACTGGCCCAAGAAACAAACCCTGCCTGTTTATTGGACTAAAGCACACACAGATGTGCTCTGTAAATGGCAGTGAAATATGCTAACAGCTCAGCCAAGAATTAATCAAGAAGCCAATGACACGCACACAGTATATTTTCTTAAGCATCTCATTCTGGGCTGGCTGAGGGCTGGGTCTTGTTTAACCTTGCCCATCCTACATGGTGCCAAACTCGGGTTTTGGGGGAGGCAGGAGATCAGGTGAAGAAAGGTTTGCAGAATTGCTTAAAGTGGTAGAAGCTTAATTCCTGTCTTGTTGGTTTCTTCCAGGAATCTGTTGAGAGCAGTGGAAATGGCTGGGATTTATCTCCAGGATAATTGGGGGCAAAGGACAGAAAATGCCCCAGCTGGTTTAATCAGGAAGAGGGTGCAGATGGGCAGGACACCGAGGAAGCTTGGGGAACCTGTGGAGCTGTGCACCCCCTGGCCTTAATAGGTGGGTTCCATCTGTCTTGCCTTCCCTTTTCTCTTTCCTTTGCCTCTTTTCATCTTCCCTTACTACAGTCTGGCCTTTCTCTGTCCACCTCTCCAATCTGGAAAATAGTCAGCCTTTCATGGCTCCCGGGTCAAACACAAAAATAGACTGACCTGGGACTCTTGTATCATCCTCAAAACAGGGGGATCTCAATGGCTTAGCCCAGTACAGTGAACAAACATATCTCCTCTTCAAGCATTCCCTCCTTCGTATGAGCTTGAGTATCCAGTTAGGTGTGACTAACAAATCCACCCATGTGTCCTGGGCTGTCCAAGGTCCCATCGCTGCATGGACACTGTTCTCAGAAAATAGGGTGTATGCTCAGCAGACATCCTACAAGGGTTTGCCTCAGGTGCTTGGTGCCAATGAGATTCTCAAATGCATTAGTTCTCCAGAGCCAAGGCAAATTTCCTATCCTAAGTCCTGGGTTCCTGGAGCACTGAATGGGGAAGGGGACAAACCTAAAACCATATATTTTATTTATTTATTTATTTATATCTTTTTGAGCTGACCTCAAACTCACAATGATCCTCCTGCCTCAGCCTCCTGAGTGCTGGGATTACAGGCATGTGCCACCATGCCTGACTCTATGTTTGTATTTTAAAGAGAATAAAAATAATAAAAAATAAAAATGATACAGAATTTCAGTAAACAAGATGATAGGAATTCAACAATGATTATTATATTGCATATGTTGTTTTCCAGTTAGTTGTTCAGATTACCAGATATGGACAGGCAAAACTGATCACAAAAGTTAGAAAGAAGAAAAAGAAATTAAGCATTGACTATTTCTTGTAGTAGAAGGATAGTCCAGTAGAACTAGACCAGAAATAGACCAGTAGAAATCATCAGTATAATTATCCCAGCTACCCTGTGTATATACATATATTTTTTTTCCTTCTTTCTTTCTTTTCTCCTTTCCCTCATCCCAGTTCTTCCTTCCCTTTGAGAAGTTTCTTTCCCTTTTACAGTATCTATTGTACCACTCAGATTTTATTTACTGTTGTAGGTTCTTACACTAAGGAAGCAATACGATGTTTACACATGTGGGTCTGATTTATTTCACTTGTGAGTGTGGTCTTTAGTTGCATCCATTTACCTATAAATGCCTTCAGTTTATCTTTTTTTTATAGCTGAGTAATACTCTATTGTATAAAAATACCACATCTTTTTTATACATTCCTCAGCTGATGGGCATTTGGATTATTTCTAAGATTTAGCTATGACAAATTGCACCGTTATAAGCATGGGTGCACATATATTGCTGTGGTATGATGTTTTCAGTTCTTCTGGAAAAATACCCAGAAAGGCAATAGCTAGGTTGAATGGGATCACTAATCCTAGTTTTTTGAGGAATCTCCACACTGATTTCCATAGTGATTGTATTAGTCTGCACTGCCACCAAAGTGGAGAAGGGTTCCTTTTTCTCCACAACCCTTCCAGCATTTGTTATTTGTTGACTTCTTGATGATAGCCATTCTTCCTGGGGTAAGATGGAATCTCAGTGTTGTTTTAATTTGCATTTCTTGAATGACCAATTATATTAAACATTTTTTCATGTATTTATTTGCCATTTGTATTTCTTCATCTGAGAAGTTGTGTATTCGTCACAGATACCCATTTTTGTATTGGGTCTTTGAATTTTGGGGGCCTAATTTTTAAAAATTCTTCATAAGTTCTAGATAGATGTCCTTTGTCTGAGGGACAGTTGGCTTAAATTTTTTCCCAATTCATGGGTTTTCTGTTTACTCTCTTGGTGGTTTCATTGATGTGCAAAAACTTTTCAATAAGATGAGATCATAGTTATTGATTCTTTGAAGTATTTCCCGTGCAGTTTGGTTTTTGTTCATGAACTCTGTCTACCCCCATGTCTTTAAGATTTCTACCTACTTTCTCCTTCAGTGGATTTAGTGTTTCTGTTTTAATATTTAGATATTTGATCCATTTTGACTTTAGTTTAGTGTATGGTGAAAGACATGGGTCTAATTTTACTCTTTGGCATGTGGAAAGCCAGTTTTTCCAGCACTGTTTATTAAAGAGGCTTTCTTTCAGTGAACATGTTTGACTGCTTTGTCAAAGATAAGGTCACTGAGTATGTTTGTAGTTGTGGCTGCATCTTGCAGTCTGTTCCACTGATTCTCAGGTTTGTTTTTTGCCAGTACCATGGTGATTTTGTAACAGTAGCTTTGTAGTATAATTTCAAGTCAGGGATAGTGATGCCTACAGCCTTTTCTTTGTCTCCCAGAATTTCTTTTGCTATTCTAGGTCTGCTCTGTTTCCAGATGAATGTTAGGAATATTTTCTCTAAATCTATGAGCTACAGTAATGGGATTTTAATTGGGATTGCATTGAATCTGCACAACAGTTTTGGGAGTATGGCCAATGTTGGTTCTTCCCATCCACAAACGAGGAATATCTTTTCATTTTCTGAAATCTTGTTTGATCTCTTTTTTCACAATAATGTAATTTTCACTGTGTAGATCTTTACTTGCTTTGTTAGATTGATTCCTAAGTATTTCATTTTTTTGCATGCTATTGTGAAGCATGTGATTTCCCTAATTTCTCTCTCAGTGTGTTTGTTGTTTGTGTACAGGAATGCTATTGAGTTTTGAGTGTTGACTTTGTATCCAGCTATGCTACTGAATTTGTTTATTAATTCTAGGAGTCTTTTGGTGGAGATTTTGGGGTCTTTTATGTAGAGTATCATTCATCTGTGAATAATGATAATTTTATTTCTTCTTTTCCTGTCCTTATTCCCTTTATTTCTCTCTCGTCTAATTGCTCTGGCTAATGTTTCCAGAACTATGTTGAATAGGAGTGGTGACGGTGGACACCCTTGTCTTGTTCCTGATTTTAGACTAAAAGCTTTCAGTTTCTGTCCATTTAGTATGATGTTGGCTGTTGCTTGGTCATAGGTGGCTTTTATCAGGTTGAGGTAAAGACCATCTATTCTGGTTTTCTGTAGGGTTATTTTTCTACCATGAATGAGTATTGGAGTTTATCAAAAGCATTTTCTATATCTATTGAGATGGTCATGTGAGTTTTGTCTTTGACTCTGTTGATATGGGGTATTACGTTTATTGATTTATGTATGTTGAACCATCCCTGCATTCCTGAGATGAATCCCACTTGGTCATGGTGGATAATCTTCTTAATGATTTGCTGCATTTCTGTTTGCTGTTATTTTATTGAGGATTTTTACATCTGTGTTCATTACGGAGATTGGCCTGTAGTTCCCCTTTTTGGTTGGGTCTTTCTCTGGTTTTGGTATTAGGGTAATACTTGCTTCCAGGAATGAGTTAGGGAGAATTCCTTCCTTTTCAATTTCATTAAAGAGTTTTAAAGAATTGGCATTAAATCTTCTCTGAAATTTTGTAGAATTCAGCAGTCAGTCCATCAGGACCTGAGCTTTTCTTTGTTGGTAAGTTTTTAATAACATTTTCAATTTCATTGACTGATATTTGATTATTCAGAATTTTTATATCTTCTTCATTCAGCTTTAATAATTCATATGTATCTAGGAGTCTCTCCATTGTTTTGTGATTTCCATCCTATGAGAGTAAAGATCTTTGAAGGAGGTATTGATGATCTTCTGAATTTCTATAGGATCTGTAGTAATTTCATCCTTCTCATTCCTTATTACAGAGAATTTGAGTTTTCTCTTTCCTTTTTTTTTTGATAAGGTTGGCTAGGGGTTTATCAATTTTAATTATTCTTTCAAAGAATCAACTCTTCATTTATTAATCCATTGTATTCTTTTTGTAATCTCCATTGCATTCATTTCTGCTCTGATCTTTGTAATTTCCTGCCTTCTTTGGGCTTTGGTCTTGCCTTGCTCTTCTTTTTCTAGAAGCTTGAGTTACAACATAAGGTTGTTTATTTGTGCTCATTCTGTTTTCCTAATGTGAGAACTGACTGCTATAAATTTCTCTCTTAGGACTGCTTTCATTGTATCTCACAGATTCTGGTAAGTTGTATCAGTATTTTTGTTTGATTGTAAATGTTGTTTAATTGTTTATGTTTTTGTTTTTGTTTTTTGGTGCTTGGAATCAAACTCAGGGCCTAATACTTGCCAGGCAGGTGCTGTGCTGCTGAGATAAATCCCCAGCCCTAATTGTTTATTGTTAAATTGGTTGTTCAGGAGGATGTTATTTAATTTTAATGTGTTTATGGAGTTTTTGTGGTTTTCTTTGTCAATAATTTCCTTTGTCAGAAAATATGCAAGGGACAATTTCAATTCATTTGCATTTACTTAAGCATGTTCTGTATGCTAGTATATGGTCTTCTTTTGACAATGTTCCATATTCAGCTGAGAAGAATGTGTATTCTGATGTTATTATGTGGGACACTCTTTAAAGGTTTACCAAGTCCATTTCTTCCCAAGTTTGGTTTAGTTCTGATATTTCTTTGCTGAATTTTTGCCTAGGTGGTCTCTTTGTGACAGTGGGGTGTTAAAGTCCCCCACTACAGTTGTATTATTGCTTATTTGATTTTTCATGTCTGTTAAAATTTGTCTTATGTAGTTGGTGCTCCTGTTTTTGGTGCATATCTATTTATAATTGTTATGTCTTCCTCTTTAACAAGTATGTAGTGACCTTCTTTGTTTCTTTTGATCATTCTTAGCTTGAGGTTCACATTCTGTCCAAACAGAATAGCTACTCTTGCTTTTTTCTGAGTTCCTGTCACATGGAGTATTATTTTCCATCCTGTGACTTTCAGTCTATTAATTTCCTTTTCAGTTAAATGTGTTTCTTGTATACAGAATATTGTTGGATGTTGTTTCTTGACCCACTCTGCTGGTCTGTATCTTTTGATTTGTGAACTGAAGCCATTTACATTATATTTATAACTGATATATATTGGCTTATCTTTGTCATGTTAGTTTCCTGCTGTTGGTTCCTTACTTTTCCCCTCTGTTTAATTGCTTTTTCTCCTTGGTGGTTCTTTTCTATTGCTGTTTT